GCCAGGGATACAAAATTATGTTTCCAGTTGATAATAGCCAATCTTTCCCACAGAATGGGCTCATGGATGGAGTGGTCATGGAGATACAGATGGAAGATATATATATATATATATATATATATATATATATAAAACACAAGCTTAATAATAAGCAGAACTAGCTATTGTTGCTTTTGAATGTCCAACTTATCATTAATAGAGATGAACTCTATTTTCCAATATGGCACTATTCCTAAAGGTGATGGCCCAGGCTTTTGGGGGGCAAGCCAACTTCATTATAATTGCCTGAGTTTATCACCTGGATTCCATACATACTACAAGTTTCCACTGCTTGTCCTCCTTCTTGTTCTACAGATTGAACACAGAGCACTCCACCACTGAACTATATCTCCTGCCCTTTTTATTTTAATTTTAAAATTTGAGATAGGGTCTCCTCTCTAAGCAGCCCAAGATGGCCTTAAACTCGCAATACTCATGCCTCAGCCTCCTGAGCAACTGGGATTGCAAGTGTGTGCCACCAGGCCTCGCTTCTATGTTCTTCTTCTAATCTGGGTCAATAATCCTTAGAAGACCCACATTTAAACTGCTGGTCTCTCTACAGAAGAAGGCTCAAGTTCTCCCAATGTTCTTTGATGCAAACCTGCCATCCTTTCACAGTATTTTGTCTAAAGCAGCTTTTCAGTTATGCTTTTAGGTTGTTTCTTAAAAAAAAAAAAAAAAGAAAGAATAAAAAGAAAAGAACTGTACATCTGCTTCTGGAGAGTGTAGCCTATGATAAAACCAATAGATCCCATAGTAATAGGTCCACTCTAACCCCACCAGTGCTGTAAATGACCAAGATGTTATCTTGTATGATATTCTTTCTTTAATCATTCCATAAGCATTTGAACAATGGTATTGGCTGAGCATTTTGTGGAAGGAAGGGCCACCCATATTCATAGTAGGTTTACATATTAAAGTAGGTGAAACATTGGCCTTTTCAGCAAGGGAAGAGTCCAATGCAGCTGACTTGTCCCAAGAAGAAGTGAACACTGACCACTACCCAGGGATCTGTATATATTCTTTCCCCAGATAACCATTTTATGCTCAAAACTAGATTACTAAGTATCACCCAGATTTCTTCCCATCATGATTTTCTCTCTCCACTGTCTTTCATAGACTCCTAGGGATGCCACTGTAATATAGTTACTTTTAATCTTTGGTTGGCTTCCATCTACCAAGCTAACCTATTTATAAGTCAAGCTGGGAGTTTTCCTTTTCTAGTCTTACAAAGTTCCTCATATGGCCATACTGCAAACTGGAGCAGGGGTGTAATTGCACATCAGGTGGACGACATAAGGTTGTGGGCTTCCTCCTCTATGTCCTTTTAACCACTCAGAACCTTCTATATTATTCCAACTCTAGACTGGAGAAGTCTTCGTAAGTGTGAAATATGTGGTAGCAGATACAGAATGCAGCAATATATTCTGTCTTTGGAACTTGAGATATATATCTAAAATAATTCTACTAAGCAGTTGATAGTTATAATATATTTTGAAATGTAAAATACTATTTGGCAATTACTGTTGAGTCATTATTAAATAATGACTTGGAAATATTTGATTCTTAGGAAAAGGTGTAAAAGAATCATTATGCTGCTATAATGCATTTAGAAATATAAGTATCCACTGAACATTTTTAAAGTTTAATAATAAATTCAAAAGTGGAAGTTCTGTATAGGGAATACTGGCACCTACTCATGGAGATACAGTTTGTATGTGTGAGAAAGTAACAAGTGGAAAGATGAGCTAAGGGAGAGGGAGAGGATCAGGAGAAGGAGAAGGGAGACGAGAAAGGAAGCACATGATGTGTGGAAACACTGAGAATACATGTTTTCATGCACCATATTTTTCTAAAATTATATAATATGTAGCTACAGAGCCATGTGATTTCTCATTCATCAATTAAAATTTAGTCAATTTCACTTGGCTATATTTTTTTCTTTTGAGCAGTAATATTTCCAGAGTGTAATGCTGTTTAGGTTCTCAGAAGGGCCTTTGAACAGCCAGCGGTGATATAACAGACCTTCATTCAGTGAAATCTTGTTGACAGCTGAGAGCAGAACAGTGCATTTTGTACCCTTAAGATAATATAATTGCTGGGATGCAATTGCTCTTTCGTCTTACGGTGGTAATCAATCAGCGATTGACAAGTCTAATTAGAAGCCTTGGTATGTGCAATGTGATAGCACTTTCTAACTGCACTGTAGCCGAAAATATCATTTTAGTAATACTATAAGAAAAACACAACATTTTTATAGATAATTCAATTTACATTGCTGCCATTACTGTTTGCATATATGAAAAGGTTTTATTGGGGGTACAAGAATACCACCTTTGGAAGTATAAATATACTGCTCTAATGGTTTTATGGTATCTCCCAAGGCTTCAGTATTTCTGCTCTAAAGATTTGATGATTTTTCAAATTGGCAAAGATAGATTATTGTATGTGTATAATTTTTATTGTGTTCAGAACACAGTGTATTTCAGGTGCATAGATATATGTTTTTATGAAAAGATTTTTCCCCTTCTTTCGAAAAGTGGTAACTCATAATAGGATACAGTAATCAGAAGAGAAATGGCATCTGTTGAAAAATATGGTGCTTGGTTACAAAGTCAATATAAAATACCATATTTCGTTAGACACTGAAAATATCTAGAAAAATCAGTGCTCATTTCTTTCCATAATATGACATGTGTTAAGTCTCAGAACAGATTTTTTCACATAGAAATATCTTCAAAAATGTTAAACTTCAAACTGGATAATTACACTGTATATTTGTCTTTTAGCATTTCAATTAGGATCTGTTAATCTTGAACTTCTGCAACTTACTTTGTATGCAGAAGGAGAAAGTGGAATTACAGGAAGTATTAAACCATTCTTTTTGTTCTTGATAAAATGATGAAATAATGTACAAAGTGCTTTCCTTCACTTTTCTGATATTTCTTTTAGAAAATGAGGCTTTCCATCATATAGAAAGTGATAAATTACCGTGAGGGCATACTCTCCTTTCTTGCAGAATGTGAATTGTATCAGAGACATGGGTTTTTCCTGAGATGTCAAAGCAAAAGACAATATAGAAAATACAATTATATTTTCACTCTGAATATCCCAGTGCAGTACTTGGAATTAAATGCCTCCTTAGACATTCTGTAAATTAGTCGACACATGCTTTCAAAACTAAATTTAAAACTGAAATATCAGCACAATGTCTCGAAAAGCACTGAAAAGCAGTCTTTAGAATATTTGGAAGAGAAGGTGACTGGAGGATTCATTTGAAGCATCAGTTTCAAATGCAGATGTAAAGCACAACACAGCAGACACAACTCAGCAATTGTTTCTTTAAAGATAATTTATAGGGTTGGGGAGGTACCTCAGTGGTAGAGCACTTGCCTAGCATGTCCAGCCCTGAGTTCCATCCGCAGTAACACACACACACACACACACACGGTATTTCTGAGCCTTATATTATTATTTCATATTATTGTTATATTATATAATCATTATTATTATTATTATTTGTATTTTGTAATGCTATATGTCACTCTTTTGGATGTTGCAACTCCACGTAACATTACAGCACATCCATAAGAATCAAACAGAAGCTGGGCGTGGTGGCACATGCCTGTAATCCAAGCTGTTCTGGAAGCTGAGACAGGAAGATTGCAAGTTCAAAGCCAGCCTCAGCAAAAGTGAGGCACTAGGCAACTCAGTGAGACCTGGTCTCTAAATAAAATACAAAATAGGACTGGGATGTGGCTCAGTGGTCAGATGCCTCTGAATTCAATCCTCGGTACCAGGAAAAAAAAAATCCTACTTCTGATGGTAATATTTTGTTACCACCTCTCCCTGATCAAACACATGGGAATTTCTAGAATCAAATTGTATATACCACCTTCACATGATAGCTGGTCATGTAAACTAAGAAGTATACCTAAAGAAAGCAAGAGGAAGACATCTATTTTACTTAAGAGAATGTTTCTAGTACATACTTGAAAATTGCTCTCTGTAAGTCAATTACAATTAAGGTGTATTACCTTATAAAATTATATAAACATATTTCTTGAGAAAAACGTCTGGAATCTGGATTTCCTTGATTTCTCCTATCATTTTGCCTGGTGGCATGTGTCCTTTACTCTTTTTAGCACCCTTTGGCTTTTACATATATGCCAAAATCCTACTTCCGAATGTGCTAGTTTCTTCTATGAAATCTCTTCCTTTTAAAACTATGTCAGTGTCCAGAGATCTTAAGCATCTTATATGTAAGGTAGGCTTCAAATCACTATTCAATTTGCAACCATCTTCAAATATGCTAGAAATAAGAAAACCACTGGGGGTGGGGCAGAAAAACACAAAAGAAACAAAGCAAAAAAAAACACCACCCTGCAGATTGCTTAGTTTGCATCCTGGATGCTGCAGTCTAAAGTAGTAGCTAGTGGGAGATAGCTATGGGAAGGACTTGTGAGTAATTGAGGACAATGTTGCAGACAGCATACATTTTAAAAGGTATTTGTCTGCCTGTTGAAGAGTGAAGTTAATAACATGCCTCCCCTTGGAGCAGTAGACAGCATCTACAGACAAGGAAATTTGTCCAGCAGGCTCATATTTGGAAAGATCAATCAATTGCATCTCTTAGATTCCTTATTTTAAAAGGATTAGTACAGCAACAATTAAGAACAGAAAAAGTAATTAATAGCAGAAATATGTGTCAATTTATTCTCTGATGATACAGAAAGTCTTTATATTTAAAAGATTGACATTTGATTAGTTGCAGTCAGAAACTAAAAGTATTTGTGGTGTAGCAACTGATGTCAGACAGTAATCATAAGTATCATAAGTGATAGAATCATGTTTGGGTTTGGGGATAGGAAGGACAGAAGCACAAGAAATACTTCAGGCTGTGACAAACATAGTCACTTCTTGCTTTAGAAATATTTTAATTTTTTTTTTTTTTTTTTTTTTTTGGTGCTGGGGATTGAACCCAGGGCCTTGTGCATGTGAGACACAAACTCTACCAACTGAGCTAAATCCCCAACCCCCTAGAAATATTTCTTAAAACACAAGGAATCAATTTGTAATCCATAGTATAAACACAGACAGATGTTGGTTGGGATTTGCCACTCAATGTACTCAATGTATGTTTTTTCATAAGCTGTTTATTTGCTAAGATGACTTTAATATCTTTCAAGAATACATTTTCTGGTTTTATATGGTTTTGAGTTTAAAGGAAAAATAAAACTTAAGGAATTTTAGAAAGTGCTTATAAAACTGAAAGGAGCTTCTCAATATTTCTGGTCACCTTGTCCCTATCATCCTATTAGGTATTCCAGTACTTACAGGAGCCTCATCCATGTCCTGTATCATGGTCCTGCCCACCATCATCTGCATTTTGTAATTGGTCCTCACTACTAATCTCCAAGAACATTAGGCATAAGAGAGATCTATTTGAAGTATCATTTTGCTTTTTTTAATCGAATGAGAAGACATTTATTTAGTGGGGGCATTCTTTTTTTTTCTTTTTTAGTAGTGAGGGTTTAACCCATGGGGGCTTTACCACTGACCTATGACCTCAAACCTTTTATTTTTATTATGAGACAGGGCCTTCTTAAGTTGCTTAGGGCCTTACTAATTTCCTAAGGCTGGCTTTCAACTTGTGAAATTCTTGTCTCAGCCTCCTGAGTAGCTTGTATTAAAGATATGTGACATTTTAAATATACTATTTATTTATGGTGTCTCAACTACTTTATTTTTTTCTCCTCTATTCAATAACTCAACTATTCAAATTCCATCTGAATTTTTAAAGTATATATGTTTCTTTTAAAAAAATATTTTGGCATCTAATATCTAAAAAAAATGCCTCATAAAAACCTGAAGCACTGATTTTTTATACCCATTTCACCATAAAGGAAATGGTATATCTTAATTCATCTAGCTGGTTATGTCAGAGGCAGACTGGAGGCAGTTTCTGGATTTTAGGCTTTTCACTGGTCTAGAGTACAATGTAAATTCTTGAGTTTAATTCCTACACCTGAGAACTGTTTGTTTACCTTAGTAGTTATACAACAAAAAAAAAATTATGAAAAATAGGAAAGTGTCCAGCTTCTATTAAATTTAGTGGCATTTTCTGACTTATATTGGCCCTCACTATTTTATAATTTTAGTTCTAATTTCTAATACCTAATTGCTATGAATTCTGTGTTTAAGTCAAAAGTAGACTGAAAAGAAACTAAGTGAAATAATAATATTGGAGTATGGGCTTATTGCCTCAAATACTTTTTTAAAATGTAAAAAAAAAAATACAAGAATATAACACCAAATCTTATTTATGTCAGCACACATATAGTGAAGGCATATTTAACCAAATAAAGGGTATCATATTAAAGTTATCCTATGGGGTTTTTAACACATAATTAGGGTTATTCTAGTAGAAAAATCTCTCATCTTTTTAAGAGAATAGAATGAGATTCCGAGAAGAATTTTTCTACCTGTACATGTAATATAAGGTACTCTTATTAGTTTGACATCCTTTTAAATTAACTGACATGCTAATGTTTGTAAACAGTGAAATTTCATAACTTTGAGAAAAACTTCAAAGATTTCCCAAACCATGAATGCATACTCTGAAAGAAACTGGAATGGGAGATATCAAATATTCATTCTCATTACTGGAGTAAAGGGTGAAACTCTCCTGTATCTAAGTGCCACTTTTAAGAACTTTGATACCTAATGCAGAGATTCTTAATTGTGAGTCTATTTAACAGTATTCTCTTCCCAAACAGTTACATGGAAAATAACATAGAACATCCACTATACTAAAACCATTGACAAAAATGTTCCAAAGAACATCTGCGTAAAATGGTAACTAAATTTAATTTAAAAACTCTTAGAACATTGAAAAATTTTAGGGGTTTTAAGGGGAAACTGAGATGAACTGCCATTGATTCTACTATTAAACTGTCCAGAATTAAGTGAATGACTGATTTTTCATTTAAACTGCGTTTATTTATAGCATCCACCTAGCACTGGCAATCTCTTTACACTCAGATCATACTGGAAAAAAATGAGATACAGTCTGAATATGAGCCATTGCCTTAGACTTTGTAGACACAAGTTGAAACTTTTGATTTTTAGGCAAATATGCTGAAACATAAAATTTAAACATTTTGGGGCAAAGTATCAAAAACTTATAAGATTAAGATTAAAGATAATTAAAAACCAGGACTCCATGTGATCCATTTCAACTGATTTAATTTTAAATGGGACAAACTGTTATTAAATACATAAGTTTTAAATAAATAATATTGGAAACAAAAATTAATAATATATATATGATATAATAATATATAATCTCTGATCCAGTAAAATGTGGAAATCACACTTGATGACAGAAATTTGGAAAAAAAAACAACAACAGTATAATGATAAAGGTAAATGCTGTTTTCTGAGTACTCAAAGATGTATAAATGATAGCCATCTACTGAAGCTCTGACAGCTTTCATGAAGGAAGTGATATTTACAATGGTCATGTAGAATGGGAAATGTTTTCAGTAGGCAAGAGAAGAGGAGAAAATTTGTTCCAGGAGAATTAATTCCACTGGTAAGTGACCAATGTATGGAGTTAACTTATGGACCCATGAGTGACATCTGAAGGAGACTGGTGAAATATTGAATGGTATTCATGCAACTAGGACTTTAAAATATTATTTGTTCATTTATTCATTAGGCAATGGGAGCCTGTGAAGAGAAATAACATGTGAGCTATATTTTAAGAAAATTAATCTTTGGTCAAATACAAAGAGCTTTCACATGTCAGTGGAAATGCCATATATACACACTGGATCTCCAATTCAGAGACTACTAAAGCATTATAAGCAGAATATGTGGGATTTGTATTATAGTGACAACATTAGGGGTAGAAAGCAAGAAACATTACAATAGATAAAGAAAAATAGAAAATAGGTCTTCGTTTGATGGAATAAGCAAGACAGAAGAAAAAAAAATAAAATAAAAATTGCATTAAGGAGGTAACCTAATTGAGATGATGGCATAGTGACATTCTAAGGAATAAGCCAATAGGTTTGGGAAGCAGGCTCATTTTGGAGGGTATTATGAACAATACATCTCTTTAATACAAGTGCAGTGAAGCGCCTAGTAGGAGTCTCAAAGGGTGACTGAACTATGGGGGTGGATAGATAAGTCAATTTTCATTGTTACACCAGTCACCACAAATATCATTTTATCTTGGAAAATTAAACTTCTCATTGCAAATGAGTACATGGGTACTTTGGTCTACTGGAGATATTTTTATGTCTTTAATTAGTTTAAATTTTTATGCCAGACAGAGTCTGGTCTGATCATTTTCACAGTGAGCTAATACCCTGAGCTCTTCAACTTGTGAATATGAGGAAACCTTGAATAGCAAGGAGGGATGTAAAAGTTGTATTCACATCTTATTAGCCACCTTGCCTGCATTTCAAATCCTATATAAGTTTTTGTTTTGTTCAAGAAATGTTTGAGTAAAATTTATCTTTTCTAAGATGGCTAAGTATTTTTATGAAATAAGGATAAAGGAAGAACTATAAATCTATACACTTCCATGCTCTAATCTGTGCAAAGGAAATTAATTGTAGGACCTACCTTTCTACGTAGTTATGAATAGGAAATGAGATAATACATGTAAACACAGAGAACAATGTCAAGCTTCTCAAAATTAGCACAATTAGTGTTTGCTGTGATGATTGGGATAAAGGTGAAAGGGCAATTGCATTAACTGTAGAAGAACAAAGGAAAAATTTTGTTTTCAAAAAGGCTGTGCTCCACAGATATAAAAAAAAAAACATAAACTCATAGATGAGCAAGTCAATATTTTCTCTTTCTTGTTCTAAAAAATGATTTATCCTACAATATTTTATTTCACATCCTATTAAATATTCCTTAAATTTTGCTTACTTGTTTGTTTCCCACAAAATATTAATATCCATTAGAATGTGAAAGAATTCACACTCCCAAAATAACAAACTATAGTCAAAATGAAATTTAAATAACATAAGTAGGAACAAATGTAGTAAGCCTTGGTTGTGATATTCACATTTAATATAATAAAAAATAAAGAAAATTTCTACTGGCCACAGTTATACTTTTAGAAAACATTTTTATTATTTTGGCTAAATATACATGTAAAGTATTTTATCCTAAGTTGTATAGTGGCTTAAAATGATCTAAAAATACTCTACCAAGCTTAAAAAAAAGATGGCAATTCATGAGTGAAGTGGTTTGCTTTGTCTCTTATTCTAAATAGACTGCTCAATAACTTGGCCTTAAAAAGTCAGTTCTAAGTTGGTTCTAAGTACCAACTTTTCCAATTTTATGATTTTCTATAAACCTGGATTTAGTATGAAACTTTTTCCCAAAAGCTATAATTTTTGGACTTACTGTAATTAAATTTAAGTTCTTATCTACTAGAAAGAATGGTGAAATATTTCTCAAATACAGGTAGGGTCAGGTGGTGAGAAGGTTGTGGGCAACGTTAGTGAGGGAATCTGTGATAAGAGGTCACACTTTAGTTCACCTCAGGATAAATGCTTTTATTACAGCTGTTCACATTTAGCTCACTGAAAGGAAACATCAGTGTTGATGTGTTCAAGTAACCAACAAAACCCAAATGTATTTCACATTAAATTGGTGGGTGTTTGTGGCATACTGACATTTGGGTACTTGACTGTGAAATTCTTGAGGTTTAATTTTTCTTATGTTTTCAACTTATTGTGAAATGTCATTAATTAGTAGATAATTAATAAGTGCTAATTGAATTGAATAGGTGAAAGGTATAAGGGAAATAGAACCAAAGTATAAAATATAGAATTTGGAAGTAGGTAGATAATTACAGATAATTTATATTTTTTGAATTCTGAGATGAAAGAAACCTCTAGACTTCAAACAGTAATAGATTAGCATCTTCTAGATTTTAGTGAGTGATATGAGGAGAAAAAAAGTGTACAGCAAACTAATTTAAAAGGAAGCTGAAAGCAAACACAT